AGCTGCACGTAGAAGAATCAGCAAGCAGACTCAAACAAGCCGGTGTTCTACTTCTCCACTCCAAACCCACTGTCTTCATCCTGCTTCTCTATTTCTGCCTTTTGCTGAACGGTGAAGAGTGAACAAATACAATGGGGACACAGGGATCGGCTCTGCGTGTTGGGAATGATGATCAGTTTCCATCTTGTGCCCTGAGACTGACCAGGACTCTTGGCTGTAGGTATCAGAAACTCAACTCAAACTAATTTATATATGTAAAAATATTATATTGAATCACATAACAGAAACACCCATGGGCTAATGTGCTTTAAGCATAGTGAAATCCAGGTGTTTTAGCGATGTCATCAGGTGTCTTTCTTTTTCTGTTAACTCTGCTCTCCCCATGATTCATTCTCATGTGGGCTCTCCTAACATCTCCACAAAGTGGCCACTGCCAGCTCCTGGCTTGCAGGTAGTTTCAGCTCTACTTGCCAAAACTTTAGATAAAAGAGAGGGCCTTTTTCTCAGTAGTCTCTCGGTAAAATTCCCAAGCAGTCTTTAATAGGCCTAGCTTGAACCATGTGCATGTCTCCCAACTGAACCAACCACTTCCCTCTGGCTGATCAGCCTGGGAGTGCGGGCCATGCTCTACAGTGATAGGTTATCTGTTTCATCCAAAGCTCATGGGTAGAGAGCAGTGGTTCTGCAAAACAAGCCAAAAGGATAAATTAATATTTGGCACCCCAAATCTATCCATGTGATAATCATGTTGCCTCCCTCACAGCTCACTTGTGGTAAGGATTGAATGGAAGAGCGAACACAAAAAAGAGCTCTATGTGTATTAGCTATTGTTTCCAAGAAACTCAGATTCAGTGTATACTCTCTGATGATATCCTCTTTTGCCCATCCCTAAATTCGGCCTACTTAAGTTATAACGTATTTTGAAATTTTTATAATCGTTTGGTAACATACAAGAAATAGTACTTTCTCATTTGAAAAATTAAGATTTCTGGCTGTTCTTGAAAAGTTGAAACATCTGCCAGTTATCAACTGCACCAAAGCAGGGTTGCCCTCACTGCTCAGCCTGTGCCCCTCTGCCCAGTCTCTCCCAACCTGACGCCAGGTGGCTTTTGAGATCCTCTTCCCATCTTTGTAGCCTCAGACTTATTGCTCTCCTCTGAGATCCTCCTGCCTTCTGCCTAGTGTCTTCACTTCTGTGCCTTCAACCAAAGATCTTCTTCCTCCCCATTAACCTAAATCCTATCCATGTGTCAGGCCTAATTGAAATACTAGGACTTCCTTAGGCTTTCTCTAAGTACCCTAGCTCTCTGAGAGCCCCTCCTCTCCTCTTCTAGAGAAACACATCCATTGGCAACCAGGACTGCACAGGCTGTGAGTCCCCCATGTGGCTGTGAGTGCATGAGAGAGCCACCTCCTCTGTAAAACAAAGAGGAATATATAGAAAAAGGGCGGAGGCAGGCAGATTGTGCCACCCCTGCTGTGGGAGAAGACAGATAGGAATTGACCTCGCCAAAAATTTATTGAAAATGTGTTTTTCATCTGTTTAGAGGTAAACCGTTATACTTTATTTATAATTCAAAATGCAGGAACACACGTGCTTTTTTTTACTTCAACAAGCCTTTAAAGAATTGTATGAATAGCATTGTTTAGTTTCAAAAATAAAAATGTCAAGGTAGTGTGTAATTTACTCTGTAGCCATAAAGGAGACTTGTAAGCAGGAATTATGGTAAATGTAGAAGAAGAAGGCTGAAACGTGATTCCTTATGATTGAAAGACGAGGGGCTTCTACATTTTATTTTAGTTCCCTCTTACTGTAAATAGCATCTGGAGATGGTATTAAGACAGCTTCATATTGGAACAATTTAATCTTTGAAGGCCATGTTGTAGCACTGGCCAAGAGGAGTAAATAACATGTGATGTAAACACTTTTCTATGATACAGAAAGTAACATAGCATAGCTCTATCATTTAAAAACAGTGTGACAATTTTGGGTAATAGCCTTGTGTGACATGATGGCCCTGTCGTTTTTTAACCCCAAATGCTAATTTAAAGACTTTTTAGCTTATCATCTAGTACTTAAAACTGTAATTATGAATGGCGAGTAGTCACGGGAAATATGTATATCATATTATAACATGTTTAAAAAATAAGATAGTGTAATATGCTTTTAACTAAGTAAAATTGTTTTCACATATGTGCATGACTATATAGTACAATTCCAAAATAAAGTAGCTCTTGTATTAAGAAAGTCAGTGAGTGTAGATGTTTTAAATGCATATTTTAAAAGTACTTAATATTGTCATCTTATAAATTAAAAAAGAAAAGGATATCCATTAACTAGGAAGAAATAATATTGTCTTCTTAATATATGACTTAAGGAAAACTGATATGCCACTTTCCAAATTTCATAAAACCAGGAGGGAGAAGAGGATGCTTACATGCAAATTCACTTTGGCAAACCTCTCATCCCAGTTTTGCCCCATGTTATTTATTTCTTTAAAGATGTCACACTGCCCTCTGGTGTTCACCAAGCTAAAATGTAATGTCTCAAATGGTCACTACATTTTGTTTTTTTATTTTCTGAATAATGAAGACTATTTAAAGGGTGAAAAAAAAGGACAGTGTAGAATACCTCAAAGTCCTATGAAGTTGTGAGTGTTCTAAGTTGTGGGTATTCTATGAGTGGTCAACGTTTTCTAATTTTTAAACTGCTTTTAAAATGTTATACATTTTGAGTTCTTGATGGGCAGGTTTAGAGACTTAAGGCACCTTTAAGCAGCAGAATTGTTAACTGGGCTCCTGGGATACCCCAAGCAACTCAGAGGATGTGGAAATCACTGGCAGCTTCCCTAAGTTCGCTCCTCGCTGATATAATGGGTCCTGAAGAAGCAACAAGACCACCAAACTCAGGCAGGCAATCTTACAGGACTCTTTCGGATTCTGCTTAAAATCTTTAAGCCAAAGAAAAACTGAGAAATAAAAATGCACTTTGAGCAAGATTTCATAATAAAACAGTGACCAAATATAATTTAAATTCAGGCCAGATTCTGTTTTAGTGGGGCTTGAAGTATATATAATCTGGAAAGTCCTTTCAAAACAACAACAACAAAAAACCTATAAAAATGTCATTTGTTTATAGTTCTATACAAATCATGAAGACCCCCTCATCAGGGTCTTGGAAGAGCCTCCTGGCCTCCAAGTAAGAACCCCTGAAATCTGAAATTTAAGTTTTCTAGCTTCAGGGAATTGGCCACTCACCCACATAGCAAGGGTGTGACCAGGTGTAGATAATTGAATCATGGGCCAATTTCCCCCAGCTGTTCTGTTGATAGTGCGTGAGTTCTCAGGAGATCTGGTGGCTTTCCCGTTTGCTCAGTACACATTCTCTTCTGCCGTCCTGTGAAGACGTGCCTTCTGCTATGATTGTAAGTGTCCTGAGTTTCTAGATTTTTCCTTGAGCATTATAATTACCAGAAATTTAATAAATTAGGGAAAACATACAGATTCAATTAATGTAGTAGCATTTTTATGTTGTTTATATTCTGTGACCATTGAGAACTGATTATCTTTGAACTCCACCCAAATGAAAATAAATCAGTTTGTTTATTCAGAAACAACTTTAATGACTTATGTTGTGTGTAGAAGAATTACAGAAGACCAGATGCTTGCAGGAGTTTAGAAGAGATAGTGACAGAATTAATACAACTATCTTAAACTATTTTAAAAGGCTGAACCCTAACAACTGGTCTGCTTGTACTGCCAACTCTTAGAAGAGGTTATATTGTGTTCACTGACCCCCTATGAAAACCTAGATGTTAATCTCAAAGACCAGAAGCCAGTCTGATATGAATTGACTCTGTGCTCCTACCCAAATCGCACCTTGAATTGTAATAATCCCCACATAGGACCAGGTGGAGATAATTGAATCATGGTCCAATTTCCCCCAGCTGTTCTGTTGGTAGTGAATGAGTTCTCAGGAGATCTGGTGGTTTTATAAGAGGCTTCCCCCTTTGCTTGGCGTTCATTCTCTCTCCTGCTGTCCTGAGAAGAGGTACGTTCTGCGATGATTGTAAGTTTCCTGAGGCCTCCCCAGCCATGCAGAACTATGAGTCAATTAAACCTTTTTTTTTTATAAATTACCCAGTCTCGGGTATTTCTTCATAGCAGCACGAAAATGAACTAATACACAGTCAAGGGGAATCACTTAGCTTATACTAAGAAGAGGTTTCTGTTATCCAAAGCAGAAGATGATTTTTTATACTAATCACAGAAAGTAGCTTCCTTAGGTGAAATCTGCAATAGCCGCCTAATCACATTACATGAATTATCTGAGTAGCACATAACAGTTGAATAATTTTTGTCCATTTCTTTATTTATAGTCTTTGGCCATTTCCTGTTTCCTTCCACAGCTTGTAAAACCCATGATGTGGTGCTCTTGCCTGCCTCATGCCCCACAGCAGGGCCACTGCATTTGGCCATGCAGACTGCGCTGCACTTCCCTGGTGCCCTTCACCTTGCAGTCATGCAAAGGAGAGCCCTTGAGCTGTGCAGGGCAGAGTCCCTGTTCAGAGCCTATGGCTGACCCTGGCACAGAATGTCCCCTTAAAAACGATATATTGAGTGAAGGTATAAGTTGTAGTCAGCCTATTTATTATTCTCATTTAAAATATAAGATGAAAAATGGAAAGAGTTTTGTGTCTCATAATTCAAAGTACATTTACTTGTGCAAACTAGTTTGTTTTGGCTGATGAATTTTATTTCTAAGTTGACTCTTTTAGGCCAACTTAGCACCATCAAGTCTGTGAAAGTCAAACCAATAAAGCAGGGAGTCTCAGTGGCTGAATTAAAGTCCAGGTCTCCTGATTTATTGCATCACATTCAGTATCTTCTACTTTGTCACCAAGCCAATTCCTTCAGACTCCTTGTGATTTTCTGAGTCTGTGGACTGTGATCCAGGAGTAACAGTGTGTGTGCTGTTTTTTGTTTTGTTCTGTTTTTAGCATTCAGCGAGCATGGCGAGAGTACCTGCAGCGGCAGGAGCCCCTGGAGAAGAGGAGCCCGTCCCCACCCTCCATCTCCTCAGGCAAGCTGAGCAGCTCTGTCAGCATGAACACCTTCTCCGACAGCAGCACACCCGTGAGTGTTGTTTCTTTTTCTATGGCCTGACTTGACATTCAGCTGAAAGCCTGGACTTTGGTTCTAAGAGAGAAATCTTGGGATGTGAGCAGGTGATTTGTGATGGTGAGGATCTAGGTTGCTTATTTGCTACACAGGAACCATGGTGAAAGTTGTGTTATCTCAAAGTGAAGACAAAATTCATAAGCACAAAGTGAACTTTATCAAGTCTGGAGAAAATAGATTGCATTTGTGTGTTCATGTTTCCCTACTGAGGTGTTTTTCTTTATAATAGCATATTTCTTTTAGTATGTGCTGTGTGTTTCTTTTATCATGTGGTGGTTCTTATGATAGAAGATAAATTTGGTTATAAGGAGTAGAAAGAGAACTTTTACAGGAAGAATTGAAAGTGGTCACATACTCAGGGGTTGCAACTCAAATGCCTCCAGGGGCCAGATAAGTAACCTTCCTGGCAGAGGTGGCTGAGCTGTGCCCCTGGCTACGTGGAGAACATAGATCTCACTGGACGGGCAGTGCACTTGGCTGTTGAGAATGTGTCACCATGTGGGGATAGAGGCGGGCATGGCCAAATGTGATTTTCTTTCTTCAGGAGATGTCAGAAATCTGCATTTTTAAAGTGTTAGCAGCCAGTACAAAAATTTAAAAGGTAGAGGGACTATGCCTACAGACAATTGAGCCCTGGGCCTCCAGTTTAAGAAATCTGAGATAGAGAGATAAGGAATAAGGGAATCTGCTGAAAGTCTTTATTTTAAAATACAAACAAACAAACAAACAAAACATAAAAAGTGGGAGGAAATCAGTGATTAGAAGTTTATGAACCAGAGTTGTGTGGATTTAAGCATTGTGAGCATTTGTAACCAGTCACTGAAATGCTGAAAAGTTAGAAAGAGAAATGAAGTAATTACACAAGTATATTGTTTTCAAAAATGTTTCCTTTATTACTTTTCATCATTATTATTCTGTGGTAAAAACATTTCCCAACGCTCGAAACAATGTATTCTTTTTGGGATCAGGTAAAAGTGACTGCTGTTTGAAACGTTTTCAGATGGTTGCTTGCATATTCTTTAATAAATGCTTTTTCCTAGATACAGATCTAAAGAGAGAGAATAAGTTGAGTTTATAGCAATGCAAATTAAAGTGGCCAAAGATCTATTTTTAATTGACAGCAGATATTGAACATTTAATGGATCTTCCACTTTCTAAAACAATTACTTGGGGGAATGGCTTGTGCTAACTGGCCTCACTGTCACTAGAGGGCACTCGTGAACCACACTGGAAAAAGCCAGGGCTTCGCAGTTGTGTGTAACTCACAATAAAGTGAGAATTGAGTATTTAGGATGTCTTTGCTGTGAATGCCAATAGAAAGTGCAAATTAGATGACTTGAGGATTTTATCTGAATGATGGAAACTCAATATTAGAAATCACTTTGTGAGTTACATAGTTGGATTTATTTTTTTTGTACCTTCTCACAGCCCCAGTTCAAGACAATTCTCATTTGCTGCTAGTGCAAGAGTTTTAGTGTTGCTTTAGGGTGCTTAGCCTTTTGGTTTTATTGGAATCCTACAAGAATATATGTTTGCTTTATATTTGTACTGCTGTACCGCTTCAATTCTAGCATAAGTGTTTTGTGCATAAATGCGTGTTCTTCCCTGTTCATGAGTCATCAAGTTCATTTATATCTCTCTGCAGCTTCACTAACAGTTCTACTTTATTTAATTTAGCTTAGCTTCCCGGTCCCTTGTTGGTTTTTAGTAGAAGAGAGTTCCTCCCTCAAATGTTCCTAGCAATTTGATCTCCCATAAGGTGTATCAGACTGAATTGGGGGTGCATCCTGTAGCCCCACCATACCATCATCCTTTAGCTCTTGGGACAAGGATGACTATATTCAGTGAATGGCAGTCTGGCTTACCCATGATTGCCTATAAAAAGTGAGAATCAATGCCTGTAATCCCAGGACTTTGGGAGGCCAAGGTGGGGAGATCGCTTGAGGTTAGGAGTTCAAGACCAGCCTGGCGAACATAGCAAAACCCTATCTCTAGTAAAAATACAAAAATTAGCTGGATGAGGTGGCATGCACCTGTAATCCTAGCTACTTGGGAGGCTGAGGCAGGAGAATCGCTTGAGCCCAGGAGGCAGAGGTTGCAGTGAGCTGAGATCATGCCACTGCACTCCAGCCTGGGTGACAGAGTAAAAATCCATCTCCAAAAAAAAAAAAAAAAAAAGTGAGATTCTAAACAGATTTTAAAAAAGAATTACTGGAATTAGCTGTCAGAAAGCAAGTAGGTCTTGTCCAGAATTCTAATAGAAGTTATTGATTATAATAATGACTTAAATAGATGGTGACAGTGATGTGAAATAAAATATGAAAGTATAAGGTGTTGGGATGTTTTCAAGTCTCTAGTTTGTTACTTAGGTAAAATATCCAAGTTATAATTTAAAAGAAAATTTTCTGTTGAGTTGTTTGGAGTTTAGTGAGCGAAGTTTGTTTTGTCTCCCATGATCATCAGTTTGCCAGGTCACCTTTTGGGAAGATTCATTCTTACATCTCTTGAGGGTTGCAGTCACCTGGGGACAAGCTGCCTGGTGGAAAGAAGGTGATTCTGCTCTACTTTGACCAGCCTGCCAGACCGGTTTATATACACTCTCAGGGAGCCCCAGATAGAAAGACTTGGTTTTCTCACCCTCCAGTGAATGGACCTCATGTATGGAGGGAATAGGATGACCCCTGGCCCACACTGACTAAGTCTGTCGTCAAGAAATGAGCTTCCTCTAATAACCATGAGTCCATTTGGAACGTCTGTGTTAAAAGCCTTCAGTCCAAGTCAAATGCTGTCAGTGAGTTGTGTCCCTGTAGAGTTCTTTGGGCCCTTCCTCTTGCTTGATCTTTTCCAGGTTGTTAAACCTCAGCCCTCTTTCTCTGGGTGTACCCTATTGCTGTTGCTGCCTAGAAAATGTTTCTATCTTCTGAGATCTGATCAACTGCCTGTCTTGTCTCAAGTCCCTGCCTGCCTTCTACTAACCTCTAGCACAACTTCAGTGGAGGCCAACATGCCATTACCTAACTTCTGGACATTGCCAGCTGCTCCCCAGCCCCATGCCTATTATATCTGCAATTACTGCCTATCTCAGCTCTCTACCCCATGCATGTACTACATAGGAAATCAGCTCTCTGATCTGGTTGAGTTCTTGTGTGGAGCTGAGAATGATGCTTCTGCATGATTCTGCTCTGATTGTTTTGGCTAAGCATAATGGTTAATATAGTTCTTAGAACACTTCTGCCTTAAAATATATAACAACAGAAATGTTTAAGTATGAGTGCTCAAATTCATTATCTTAATAAGAGCTGAGCACTTGTTATGTACCAGGACTTTGCTATTATGTTGTTTAATCCTTTCAATGATCATATAAAGAAAGGCACTATTATTAACTTTATTTTACAGATGATGAAAATAAGACTTAAAGAAATAACTATCTTTTCTTGGGCCACCCATTGGGGTGGAGCTCCATGTTTTATTCTCCCACTATATCACTTGAAAAGAAGGCTGCATTTAGATATGGTCAAGCTGTTGGGGTAGCAGTCAGTTCATGCATTTCTAAGACTATTTTATAATTTGGTAGTTATAAACAGTGAATGAAACAATATTTTTTAAACCCTCATTTGATTTTATAAATTGCTTCATTCAATGCTCTTTGATTAAAACCTCAAAACTCAGCTGTTCAATGCCAAATTAAAGAGCAACAGGAGGGAATATAATATTAAGTTATGTTAGCAATTTGCATATGAAGTGCCCTTACACCACGGTGTATCATGTGGTAACAGAAAAATTGGTTTTAGAAATAGGAATTTTGAATAGCAACTGTTATGAGGGAATGCAGCTTGTGGATATCAAGATGATTTTTAAAAAGAGTAATCTTTTCTCCTTAAAAATATTAGTTATTGCACAAAGGACAACAGTAGGAAATGTCCTCTGTACTTTTTATTAATCAATTTTATATTATAAAATAATGCTTTTCGTGTCCAGCTCCCAGAGATCTGTAACTTGTCTAATAGGATTATCACAGAAACTATAGTATGATATTTTCTAAACCCCAAGATTGATAACCTTTTCAGAAATCATTAGCATGCCCTTACACATAAGTCCAGAAAAATCTTTGGGATTATTTACAGACATTCTCAATCACTTTTGGCTTGAATTGTTTCCACCCGCATGGGCCTTTCTTGTGGTCATGCCCATTTTCTCCCATTCGTTCCCATATTATTATGATCTGGCCTATAGCGGGAAGTGTGGCTCATGAAATGAGGCGCTGCCTGGGTAAGAGGATGTGACTTAAAATAGCAGCTCTGCCACTGTTTGTGTCCAAGATATATTGTTAGAGAGGACAGTCTTCATCTGCAGCTTGGAAATAATACCCACTTCAGGGTATTATTGTGGATTGGGATTACTGTGAGGATTAAACAGCACTACGTATGTAAAATATAGCACAAAACCTGGGACTCTGAAGACTCTCAATAAGTGTTAGTTGATTTTGAATCTGCTCTTGAAAACATTCTGAATTTACTCAAAATGCTGTGGAAAACTTGTGGAGAGCAGAGATGAAAATTTTAACTTGACACTAATTGAGGGACACTGTGATTCCCCAAGTGAATCCATGAGAATCAACTCATGTCCCAGAAAGAATATGAATACATATATTGGAACTATACATTACAAAGGTAATAAATTACACATTTATTTTAGTGTTGCTCTTACTAAAGATTAATTTTTCCAGTTCTGAAGATGAACTGGATCCTTTTGCATCTAAACAAGTAGACCTCCTCTGAGAAACCACCCCCGCACTCAGAGTAAAAGCAAGCATAGATCGTTCTCCTTCCTTCCAAGGACCCTGATGAATAAGAAACAGGAGGATTCGTAGCACACTGGGGAAAGCAGAATTAAGTGCCATTCCTGCAGCTGCCCAACTTTTACCAGCAGACCTTGCTTCACCTTCGTCATGGTCAAGAGGAATTAGAGTACTGAGCAGGGTCAAAACCAGTGAGTTGGGCCAGCCGAAGACCGTTACCTTAGGTGTGGAGGGAAGGCTGTGGAACGCTCAAGTTAACAGCACTGCTGTTATTCAACTTTCAGCAAGAGTGTCTGGATATTCAGCAACAGCCAGCCAGGTGACCCACCGAACCTTTCCGAATATACTTCTAAAAGTCAGTCTTAACCTTGCTGTTGAACACAGCATATTCATCAACATTCAAATCGCTTCATTACCCTCAAGCTTTATTACCCTTTTCAGATTTACAACCTCCAGGCTTTAAATACATCAGGTGAACTCTGGTGACTAATTAGGGAGAAAGTCTTGTTAGAAAGTGCACTTGTTTGGGGGGAAACTCCGCCCTAAAAGAGGATTTCTGGGACCCCTTCTAATACAACATTGAGAGATTTAAAACTATAGAGAACACAAGTTTTGTGCTGCTTAATAATTAATAACCTAGCTTTTCCAGGTCAGGGACAGGTTACAGTATTAAGCCCAGCTGTTGTAAATTTACGTCACAGGAATTCTAATGTTTTAGTACCGAAACACTACCTTTCACCCTTCCTTTCAGATCCCCAAATAGCACAAATTCTTTGTCTATTTGTTCCAAATTTTGGTTCTGAGAATATATTAACCATATATAAAAAGAGAAGACTTCTTGATATTTACATAGAAGTAGATACATTTCTCTTTTTTTTTAAACCAGAGCCTGAGAGAGTATTTCATTTTCCAAAGTTTTAGAAATTTTATAAACATATATGACAGTATGCATAAATATATTTTACATAAAATATTATTTGTATAACACAAACATCCTCTCCCTTTATGTCTCTAAATATTGGCTGCTAATATAGATTCCTTTTCCCAAATTATCATTTTAACTTCATGGTTTGAGGATAATTTTTCTTGATAGGCTTAAAAATAAACATGTTGTTTTGGTTTTGAGATTTAAAATTTTTTTTAAAGTACTAATATTAAACATCATGTGAGTTCAAAATGATATGCAAAATTGACAATTGATCACTGATTCATTCATCCATAGTAACATAATAAATCTTCCTCACAGTCTGCACACTTAATGACCTATGAGTATAGATGCAAAAACCTAGACATTAAATAATGTCTTTGATAAAGATAGTTGAGAACTTGTTTTCTTTATAGTTTACCTTAAGTCCACTCTTTGCATTTGTCCTCACATAAATTCTGTCCTTATTTTGCAGCTTAGGTGAGATAAATTGTTGGATCTCTAATTTAGACACAGGGTGTACCCTACATAATAAATCCAGTTTTATTATTACATTCCAAAGCACAGAAAGACAAATATTGCATGTTCTCACTTATTTATGGAATCTAAGAATCAAAACAATTGAACTAATGGGCAGAGAGAATAGAACAAAGGTTGCTGGAGTCTGGGAAAGGTAGTGGGAGCCTGCAGGGGGCAAGTGGGGATGGTTAATGCAACGGGTACAAAAAGAGAAAGAATAAGACTTACTATTTGATAGCACAACAGGGTGACTATAGTCAGTAATAAGTTAATTGTACATTTTAAAATAACTATAAGAGTGTAATTGAATTGTTTGTAACACAGGATAAATGCTTGGATGGATGCCCCATCTTCCATGATTACTTAATGGATAATAATGTGATTGGTTTACACTGCATACCTATATCAAAACATCTCTTGTATCTCATAAATATATGCACCTGCTATATCTGCAAAAAATAAAAATTAGCAAACCAACATTCCACCATTGAATGAGTATAAAAAATGCTTTAGGGTCCAAGGAGAAATCAGATGTGGTGAAACTGGATTTTGATATATCATTGTATTCTATTTCTTCTGGAAAGCTCATTAGCCTAAGGGTCTTTTGTAAATAGGACAACTTAGGGGGTGGGCTATGATTACTCACATCCCTGGATTAGGTTTATATTCATTCACTCATTCAGCAAATATCTGAATGTCTACTGTGTGCCAGGCCTTTGCAAAGCACTGGGGATACAATGACCACCAAGAGAAACACAAGCTCTGCCTTTGCAGAATCTACAAATTCCTCAGTCATGATTGACAATTCTTGTAACAGTTGTTGATAACAGGAAATAATAACTATTAATTGATTAATTGTATAGAAGGTTTAGGTGCTATTATTAACAAAAATCTTACTGCTGAAACATCCAGAGTAGAATTTCTTGGAATGTGGCACCTGAAATATTACTTTTATAGGACATTGGTAAATGTTAATTAGAAGAGGGGCAAAATAAGTCAATTTGTTTACGAATTCTCCGAGCCTTTTCAAGTTTATACACATTTTGATTCTGTAGGAAGGCTGTGTCGCCATTTTCTGTGCTACTTTGAGCATGAAACCTGAAGGGAATCATATCTTTTGGACTTAATGGATCCATGGAACACACTTTGGTAAACATTATTGTTAAAAATCCCAAGAGCTCAAATTTTCCTCTAAGTGGCTCAAAAATGCAATTAATGAGTTGAATAATACATTTCGTAAAATTTCCAATGAAAGTTTTACACACATGTTCTTTTTATAGGCCTCTATCTATAGACCGGTATTATGAAAATGCAAATTTTATTAAGTTAGTTCACAGATAAAACTTGTTGCATTAACTGGCTCATAGGGTTTATGTAAAAAAAGAATCGAGTCAACAAAACAATA